CAATATACCTGGTCACGCACCACAGTAGTTTAGCCATAAGAGGCTCTTTAGCACACTACTGTTCTTTGGGAAACACAAAGTTTAACCTCCTGTGGGAAAGGAAAACCAATCTTCAATTTAAATTGTTCTTTGTAACAAACAAAAAACAGGATCTATGTTTTACATATTTTAAATACGTTTTTTCCCCTGCAGTTGCAATAAGTTGTTGTGTATATTGTGGGTGTGGACGCTGCCACAGATGAACAGTCATTCCTGATATACTTCATGCGTAAAGTGCAGTGTAGCATGTGTGCGGTCACAAAAATACAAATCCTGCAGGTTTCAGCTGAGAATGTTGTTTTCACCCTTCGAGAGCAGAAGACTTGCACTGCACAACTACATGTGAACCTTTAAGCTGCCTGCTCCTTACTGCAGGGCTGAAGCTTACAAGGCTAACAAGGCTGCCATCTCCCAGTCTGAACAAAAGCCTCTGCTGGTGTGTTCTCAAAAAGCATGAAGCCAAACACCGACGTCTGTGCGACTGTTACAGGGACACACGCACGTGTACTGCTGTTGTCCAAATTTCAACCCGAGGCTAGTTTCTTTCTGTGGCCCTTGAATGCAACCGGAGCATGCACTGAAAACAGCAGCCAGGATATATTTTAAAGACCGTAACAAGAACTGGAGGATGGTGCCCTCTCACTGTGACGAATATCTGGTCCCGTTATTATACTGCGGCTTCATTTGGCCTCCGCACGTAAGCTGCGGAGTAACATGAAAGGTTACAGCTTGTAGAGCCACAAACGGCATCGACGCACATTTTTGCGTTTGCCTTCAGACACTCCGGAAAATCTCGATCAGAGTCCAGCCTGCTTATGCAACTGGACTGCGGCCGAGCAGCCGTCTGCACCGGGCTCCTCGGACCCGCTAGCTAACAAGCTAAACGTTATCTGAAGCGCGTGGCCGCAGTTAGCCGAGCAGGCTCACGCGCTGTGTCGCAGGCTTCAGCTGCTCGTGCAGCAGCGTCTATATCACACCAAACGGCTGCTCTGTTCAAACAACACTCGACAAACACGCGTTTTCAACATTTTCTATTCTAACGGCTCATGCTTACATTATCTGACGGAGCGCCTGGATCTCTTCACAGGAAGCGGAAAGCTAACCGATTTTTCCAACGCGAGAATGTTTTCGAGGGCGCGCATCTTCCTCTTCTTCACTCGGGGTCCTCACTGCAAACTCCTGTAGGGTGAGCGCACAGCGCCGCCTGCTGTACAAAAGGCGCCTGTCGTGTATTTTAACCCACAAAAAGCACAAAAGCGGCACCTTCACGGGGACTTCAGTGCGCACATGCGACCTATTTCCAATTTCAGCTTCTTGGTAAAGAAACCGGACTTTAAACATGACCTTAAAACAAACTGTTCGTCAGGATGTTTGGCTGACACAGACAACAGTTTGTTTTAAGATATATTGCTCCACCGATGATTCATTTCTTTTATTTGGCTGTTAGTTTAAATTGAACACAGACTGTTTGGACCAGCACCCTTTCTGCCCCCCTAAAGGTGACCATGAATGGATACACAAAGTTTCACATTAATCTTGTCATTAAACAACAAAACAACACAAATTTAATAAATAATCTGGAGAATTTAGGGGCTGAGTCCTGAGGCCACGCTGTCCCGTGTCACCCTCTGCAGTAAGGTTCACTGCTGTCTTTCATTAATGCAGCTCTGTGGCTCAGAGGAATCACATACTGCAGGTTTCCTTCTGTGGGTGTGTATCTGAGCTGTCATGGGCAACCATCCACGTTCATGGAAGGGAAGACGTGCAAACCCCACACAGAAAGGCTGGACTGATCGCTGTGGGGTTAGGGTCAACATGTACCTGCTTATCACAGCAATCATGAAGCTTGAATAAGACAGATGAGTTGGACGTTGTTTGGAGAGTTTAATAAACAATTTTAACATTTACCTCAATTGTTTTCATGTGCAATGACAACAGAGTATCACACAACGGCTCCTCTGTACCACAAAGGATTGTCTGTCTTTATCTGCACAGGTTGCAGCCTGCATGCATGCAGGGTAAAGGCTTTGCAGCAGGTCTCAGAACCACACAGTCCGTCTACTTTGAAGGTCCCAGTCCTCTCGCAAGATTCTCGCTGGTTTC